GGGCAAGAAAGTCCGCGAGACTCTGATCTCCAATAAACCACCAGAAAACCATAATTTGTGCTGTGGCTCAAGCTGAAGAGCGCAGGGGCAGCGCCTAAGCCCAGAGTTCAAGCCCATGACCGACAAAGAAAAAAAAAAAAAAAGCAACGAAAGGATTAAGCTTCCACCAGGCACCGGTGGCTCACGCCTGTCTCAGGAGGCTGAGCTCTGAGGAACCTGGTTCAAAGTCAGTTGGGACAGGTGTGAGACTCTAATCTCCAATGAACTACCAGAAAACCAAAAGTGGAGCTGAGGTTCGGAATAGCAGAGCTCCAGCCTTGAGTGAAAGAGCTCAGGGATGGTGCCCGGGCCCCGAGTTCAAGCCCTACCACCGACCCCACCAAAAAACAATCACCAAGCTTCCCTCATCAGACTTTCTGGGACAGGGCACTCACCAGATTCCCGGAGGTAAGAGAAGGTTTTGGCTATGCACAGCAGATCCTCTTCGGGATCCAGCACCTTTGGTTCACTCTCCGGCCGTACGGGGGTCTCCTCTGCCACCTCCTCCGGGAGGGCCCCTGCCGGCAGGGGCTGCATGGCCGGATCGGGCAGTTCTAGGGACTGGGCCCAGGGGGGCCGCCGCCCAATCCGCTCCGCAGCCAGTAAAGGACAAGATCTAGAAGAGGGAAGGTGGGCAGTGAGCAGACATCTCCTGCTTGCCTTATTCCCAGAGCCGACCCCCTCGATCGCTTTTCCTGGTGTAGTTTTTTCCCCCCTCAGAGCTGGGATTAGAGGTGGAAGCCAGGGTATCTACGACACCCCACTCCACTCCACTCCCATAGACCTTCTCCAGAAAGACAATTTTCCCACCAGGCTCAGTGGTCACGCCCGCCTTCTCCACTGTTCAGGAGATGGTGGTAGGAAGATCAAAGATCGAGGTTTAGGCCAAGGCCGGGAATGTGGCTCAGTGCTAGAGCACTCATCCGGCATGCACGAAGCCCTGGGTTCGATCCCTCAGTACCACATAAACGGAAAAAGCTGGCAGTGGCACTGTGGCACCAGAGGTAGAGCGCCAGCCTCGAGCAAAAGCAGCTCAGGGTCAGCGCCCAGGCCCCGAGGTCAAGCCCCAAGCAAAACCTCAGACCCTAGCTGAGAAATAACTGAAGGAAAAAAAAGTCTGGAGGCGTGGCTCACACAGTAGAGAGGTCACCCAGCAAGCTCAAGGCCTGGTGTCCAACTCCACAATCACCGAACTAATAAGTACACAAAAATAAATTTAAAGATCCTTTTCCGCTCGGTTGCCTTCATTAAATACTAATTTGTCTACTTGGTAGACACCCCTAAACACAGGCCAATCCCTGCAAGCAATTGCGTCACGGCTACAAGGATCCCAGGCATCAGCGCCAAGTGGTCTGACGTCTGTGCCCTCTGGGCCGAGGCAGGCTGATTAAATGGTGCCCATCCTGCTCCATACCTACACCATATGCTCACGCCCGTCATCCTAACTAGTATCAGGAGGCTGAGGTCCGAGGATCGCGGTTCAAGGCCAGCCTGGGCAGGAACTTCCATGAGACTCATCTCCAATGAACCAGAAATAGCACTGTGGCGCTTACCTTGAGCTGAAGAGCTGAAGGACATCGCCCAGGCCCAGAGTTCAAGCCCCAAGATCGTGTGTGTGTGTGTGTGTGTGTGTGTGTCTGTGTGTGTGTGTGTGTGCGCGCGCGCTCCTATCAAAGGGCAAGATAATCCACACCCAGTCCAGATTTCCCACCCCACATCAAGCCAACATGCCAGGCTGTATGATCTTGTTTACAACTTCCTCCTCTTGGGCCCCCATTGCCTACCCCCACCATCACACACAGAGTGAAGGGCCCACAGAGGGTTTGGCTGGGATGAGGGGAACTAAGCTGGCCAAAATCTGAGCAGTTAACTTCCTCTTAGAGGAAGCCCAACTAGCTTGTGGGTCCTCAAGCTTCTTGCCTGGGAGGAAGAGGGTACTGATCTCTTGTTCACAAAATACGTTCCAGGTTCGATTTGGGGGTCTAGTCCCCCGGTGGGGCCTCAGGATGCTAAGTTATTGAAACCTCGGGCGCTGCCCACGTCGGTGGGGAAAGGCAGTACTTGAGAGCCATTCCATTCATGAGGTCAAATAACTCAGGGTCGGTCTGTTCTGGAGCAGTCTGCCAGGCCAGAGGAAGAAATGACAAGTCGAACACAATGGCCAGGTATCACCGTGAGGTGATAAAAGGCGGGCAGAGAAGCCAGATTGGAGATATGGCTTATGTTCAGGTCCCCACCCATCACTACTTTGAGAGAGAGAAAAAAAGAGCCACAAAAAGACTCCTAGCTCACCAAGTACTTTTCCACACCTACCCTGGCTGCCCCAGGGAGCTCTGGAATCTCACACGGGGAGCTCAAGAATCTCCAGATGATCGTTCTGCTAGGCCACACCGATTGATGCCAAACACCTTTAGGGAGTCACCCCCCCACGTAGGACTTCTCTGCACAGCTCCCACGTGTGGGCCGATGTGGGTGTGGGCTAGCTGGATTGATCTCCACGGGCTGAGCGACTGTGTATCCCAGCACGCCTTTGTCATCCCATGGGGGCAGAGACTGGCATATTCTGGGTCCCCACGTGTGCCAGGCCACTGAGTCCCGCCCGGGACACGTGCCATCAGAGTCCATGCAGCCTGAGAGCAAGGGTGTGGGACCTCTCCACAAAGCTATCATCAGGAATCACCAGCCTCTACTCTTGGAGAGCACTAACTATTCTGTGGCTATGTGTGGGGATGTGGAGACCTTGCTGGGGGAGGAGGGTATGGCTAGTCACAGGATGGACAGATACGGTCATCCCAGGTTTGAAAAGACAACTAGGAAATCTGTTGTGATGGTTTGGGGAAAGGGGTAAGGAGGAAAGAGTGAGAGAAGGGGTGAAATTGGCTGGCATCCCTAGTATACGTGTGTGGAGATTCATAGCGAGCGCCTTCCTGTAGAACTATGTATGCTGATTTAAAAAAATATCTTTAGCTGCGCACCAGTGGCTCATACATTGAATCCGAGCTACTGGACTCGGCAGGCTGAGATCTGATGATCACGGTTCAAAGCCAGCCTGGGCAGGACAGTTTGTGAGACTCTAATCTCCAATGAACTCCCCCCAAATCTGGAAGGGGACTGTTTGTTACCTCAGGTTTTAGAGCATCAGCCTCAAGCAGGGAAAACTAAGGGACGGGCACTGTATACACACAATCTTAGAGACAATCAGGGAGAAGTGTTCTGGGCAACTCCACATCCTTTTCCCCTGAGTAAGGACAGTTCAGGAATCATCAGCACAAGGAGTGCTTGGGTCTGGCCTTACCTTCCGCTCTCCCTCAGTTGGCCCCATGCCCCGGCCAGTTCTGATAACAGCTGCCATGGGGCCGCCTGGCTCTCCTTGGGCTTAGAATACCCATCTACACCCCTCTCTTTATAGACTTTTCCGAGCTCCTAGCCCATGGGTGGAAAGCCTTGGTGTTTGAATGAAGGGAAAACTAAAGTGTGGGATAAGAAAGTGTGCTAGAACCTCAGCTGGGACCAAGACTTTGTCTGAACACCACCCCACTCTTACCACGGTCTCCCCCGCCACCCCCATTCCATGCTTTTGGGAAACTTGGAGAAAGGAGGCGGGAGTCAAGGTCGTGAATCACACTGGGGACCTCAGCATCTGAGAGAATCTCACTGGGTTGAAGTGAGGGCAATGCTTAGGGGGTGCTGCTCCAAGAACTGTTGACTATTGGGTGCCAGCCAGCCTCGGGGAAAGAGTCAATGATTTCGAGCTGGCTTTCTGAAGGAGAGTCTGGAACAGAGGACTGGACTCGTGGAAGGATGGGGAGGGGGAGGGGAGGGGACAAGGGGCTGTCCCAAGGTTACTTAGGCTAGAGTGTCCCCCCCCCAACTCTTGCCGGTGAACCCCAGCTCTGATCTGCTCTAGGAGTGGGAGGCCGGGTGGAGAGGGAGCCCACCTTGTGTTCCTGTTACCTGCCAGCCCTCAGTTTCCCTAGCCATAGTATGTTAGAGGAGAGAGGGGTGGAGGCTCTGTGTGTGTGTGTGTGTGTGTGTATGTGTGTGTGATCACAGCCCCCCCCCCCCCAGAGCCCTAGGATCTTCGGCACTCGGTGAACTGCAGCCGATCTCCCAAACCTGGCAACTTCGCACGAGGCCGGTGTTGTTTTGGGTTTTGTCTGGGGAGGGGGAGGGGAAGGGGGAGGTTTTACTCCCCAGATCGAAAGCCGGGATAAGGGGGGGGCACTTACCCCTGGACGCAAAGGACCATGTCCCGACCAGCAGCAGCTCCGAAGTCTGGGCTGGGCTGAACTGGGGCCGAAAGGAGGCCAAGGGGGCGCTCGGGGGGGCGCGAGCCGGTCGGGGTGGCGGGGCAGCCCGGGCAAGGAGAACCGGCCTGAGGCGCGGCGCGGCCTGAGAGGAGCCCGGGCGGGAGGGCGGCGCGAGGTGGCGGGGCGCTCGGGCGGCAAGATCGGGACTGAGGTGGGGCGCGGCGCGGCCTGAGAGGGCCCGGGGTGGCGGCGGGGCGGCCCGGGGCGGCGGGAGGGCGGGGCCGGCCGCCTCCTAATCTCTTCGTCCGCGGTGTCCCAGCCTTTCCCGGAAGCGGCGTCTTCCTGGAACCGAGCGAGGAGGGGAGGGTGGGGGTTTACGCACTCGGCCCAGAAAAGTGGGGAAGGGGGGGGGGGGGAAGAGCGGGAGCAGGGGGTGGGGCGGACGTTGGACCCAAGCCGGGGGCGCCGCCGAACGCGCGCCCTGAAATGAAAACACCTCGGACGGAGTTCCAAGAACTTTCCAGGAAAAGTGGGCGGGGCTGCGCCGAGCGACCAATAGCGACGCTGGAGGGAGGTGGAGCCCACGAGGTCAAGCGAGCCAATGGCCGCGCGCGCGCGCGTGGACTGACGTACTTCGCCTCCCCCGCCAGCCCCGCCCACTCCCGGAGGGGCGGGTCCTAAAAAGGACCCAGGTGGGAAGAACCGAGTTGGGGCAAGTCAGAGGCTGCCTGCCCGCCCCGGCTCTCCGGGCGGCCTGATCGCGGGCAGCTTCCCTTCCTGGGCATTCTGCTGGGTGAGAAGTAGGGGGTGAGAGGAGGAAAGGGGGATGTGGCTGGGATTATCTCACTGCCCAACGAGTGTCAGCGCGGAGGCGGGCGGCGGGGCGGCTCCTCCAAGGCGATCTGGCTTGGGTGCCGGCGGTCCCAGCCTTGGATCTGGGACTTCTGTGTGGATGGGGTCGGCGGGAGGTGGCGTGTGGTGGGGAGGCCGAGGAGGGGGAGACGCTGAATGCAGAGGGAGGGCCCATCCCCGGAAATGAGCGAGTCTATAGAGCCAAAAGGATCCAAGCGAGAACCGCCTTCCTCCCCCTCCTCCCTTTCCTTCCTCCTCCTCCTCCTCACCTTCCTCCCCCTCCTCCCCTCCCTCCTCCCCCTCTTCCTCACCTTCCTCCCCCTCCTCCCTTTCCTCCTCCCTTCCTCCTCCTTCTTTTGTAGGTCGTGGGACTTGAACTCTGGGCCTGGGCCCTGTCCCTCAGCTCTTCAGCTCAAGGCCACTGCGCCCCTTCTGTTTTTTTTTCTGAGTGGTTTATTGGAGATCAGAGAGTCTGTCACAGACTTTTCCTTGCCCCCGGGCTGGCTTTGACCCTAGGATCCTCAGATCTCAGCCTTCTGACAAGCTTGAGCCACCGGCGCCAGGCTAAGAACATTATTCTTTGAGAAGAGGTGGGCGAGGAGACACACCAAGCCTTTACATTCGGTGTCTGCCCCCCTTCCACCAGTGATTTGACTTAGGCAGGGATAAGTCATCCCTCCACCCCCCAGGTTGCCCGCACTTTGATTTCGTGACTCCCCCAAAATGATGGATCCCGAGTTCCAAACGATGGGAGAGACTTTTCAGGGGTGGGGTGATAAAAGTGTGTGTGTGTGTGTGTGTGTGTGTGTATACAGTATTTGCTACATGTGTGTGTCCCTTCCTTCCCTTTCTTCCCTCCTTCCTCCCTTCCTTCCTTCTCTCCCTCCCTCTTTCCTTCCCTCCCTCCTTCCCTCTTTTTCTCTCTTTCCTTCCTTTCTTTCTTTCTCTCTTTCATACTGGGAATTGAACCGAGGATGTTGCACTTGCTAGGCAAACACTTTGCCACTGAGCTACATCCCAGCCCAATATTTACTACATTCAATCCTCAACAACTTCAGCAGACAAGAGAATAGATCTGCGAGGGCCCGGTGGCTCACACCTGTAACCCTAGCTACTCAGGAGTCTGAGATATGAGCATCATCATGGTCCAAAGGCAGCTGGGACACAAAAGTCCATGAGACTCTTTATCTCCAATGAACTAGCAAAAAGTCAGAAGTGGAGGTGTAGCTCAAGTGGTAGAGCATCAGCCATGAATGAAAACGCTGAGGAAGAATGCCCAGTCTCTGAGTTCAAGACCCACTACTGGCACAAAGAAGGAGGAGGAAGAAGAGGAATTAACTTGGTCGGAAATGGAAGAGCCAGAGTTTGATCCTAACCCTGAATTAAAGTCCACATTCCTACCCTAACCCAGTCTACCTTTTTCTTTTTCTTTTTTTGTCGGTTGTGGGGCTTGGACTCTGGGCTTGGGCGCTATCCCTGTGCTCTTCAGCTCAAGGCGAGTGCTCTACCACTTGAGCCACAGCGCCACTTCCGGTTTTCTAGTGGTTAATTGGAGATAAGAGTCTCATGGACTTTTCTGCCTAGGCTGGCTTTGAACCGAGATCCTCAGATCTGAGCCTCCTGAGTAGCTAGGATTATAGGCTTGTGCCCCCAGCACCCGACTTCTTCTTCTTCTTTTTTTTTTGGCGGGGGGGTCCGGTCTGGGGCCTGAATTCTGGGCCTGGGCGCTGTCCCTCAGCTTTTCAGCTCAAGGCTAGCACTCTACCACTTGAGCCACAGCGCCACTTTCGGCTTTCTTTTTGCTTATGTGGTGCTGAGGAATCGAACCCAGGGTCTCCTGCATGCAAGGCAAGCGCTCTACCACTGAGCCACCTTCCCAGCCCTAAGTAGACCTTTTCTAACACACTAGTCTTACCAGGGAGTATCTTGAAGGACTATAAGACCATGAGAGCCAAGGACTCTACCACTGGGCCACCTTCCCATCCCCAATTTTGAGGATGTTTATGGCATCAAATCCCAAGATCTCTAGCCGGGCACTGGTGGCTCATACCTGTCATCCTAGCTACTCAGGTGGCTGAGATCTGAGGATCGCAGTTCAAAGCCAGCCCAGGCTTATCTCCAATAAACCACCAGAAAACCAGAAGTGGTGCTGTGGCTCAAGTGGTAGAGCGCTAGCCTTGAGCTGAAGAGCTGAGGGACAGCGCCCAGGCCCAGAGTTCAAGCCCCACAACCGACATTAAAAAAGCATTCCCTACAGGTTCAGTCCCAACCAATCAACCATCTTTTATGAGTGTGATAGTTCTGTGCTTCTCACTTGCATGCTGCAAACAGGGTGTGCTCCAGTTTCACGTGCTTCAGGCCCTGTGGGTCGCTAGGGCCCAGTCTCCTCTCCTGCCATGTCTACTCCATCTACTGCATTCATACTGCCACCCAGTGGTATTCCTCCTCATTACCTCACTAGCCCCAAACCATAAGTTGTCCCTTGTAGATGTCCTCCTCTGAACCCTGTGATTCCAGGTGCTTTGGGATTTCTCCTGCCATTCCCCACTAAGAAAAACCACAAGAATGTGCATGAGAGCCAGAACTGGGGGCTCAGATCTATCATCCTAGCTATTCAGGAGGCTGAGATCTGAGGATCATGGTTTGAAGTTAGCCCAGGCAGGGCTGGGATGGTGGCTCAGTGCCAGAGCGCTTGCCTTGCATGCCTGAGACCCTGGGTTCGATTCCTCAGCACCACATAAGCAAAAAGAAAGCCGAAAGTGGCGCTGTGGCTCAAGTGGCAGAGCGCTAGCCTTGAGCTGAAGAGCTGAGGGACAGTGCCCAGGCCAGAGTTCAGGCCGCACGACCAGACCCCCCCCCAAAAAAAAAAAGTTAGCCCAGGCAGATAAATCTGTGAGACTTTTTTTTTTTTTTTTTGGTTTGGCCTAAGGCTTGAAATCAGGGCCTGGGTGCTATCCCTGAGCTTTTTTGCTCAACTAGTGCTCTACCACTTTGAGGCCCAGATCTACTTCCAGTTTGGGGGTGGTTAATTGGAGATAAGAGACTCAGGCTTTTTGAAGTGTGATCCTCAGATCTCAGTCTCCTGAGTAGCTAGGATTATAGCTATGAGCTACCATTGCCAGACTCCATGAGACTCATCTCCAGGACTGGGAGGTTGGCTCAGTGGTAGAGTGCTTGCCTTGCATGCATGAGGCCCTGGGTTCGATTCCTCAGCACCACATAAGCAGAAAAAGCCGGAAGTGGCGCTGTGGCTCAAGTGGTAGAGTGCTAACAGTGAGAAAAAGAATCTCAGGGACAGTGCTCAACCCCAAATACAAGCCCAGGACTCTCTGACCCCCCCCCTTTACACACACACACACACACACACACACACACACACACACTAATACGCATCACAGCCTTCCTCAATATCTAGTTGATTTGGGTATCTGGTTGATTTGGGTATCTGGTTGATTTGGGTATCTGGTTGATTTGGGTCTCTCTCTTGGACAACATGAGATACAGATGCTGCCATCCCCCACCCCCAACTCAGACTCTTGATCCTTTGGTCACAATAAGCTATTTCAAAGGTGTAACTCTCTGTATCTATGGACACGCGACTATTGGGATGTGTGGCAGAGTTTGCTACCAAGAAACCACCCCACCCAGGCTCACAGCTCATGCTATATACTAGGATTACAGGCATGAACCACACAGCTGGTTATATACATGGATTTTTGGTTACTGGAGATGGAAAGTTGCTAACTGTTAGTCCTGGGTTGCCTCAAAGTGAGACTCTCAATCTTTACCTTCCAAGTAGCTGTGATGGTGTGAATCCCTCACTCCCAGCTAACTAGTTCCGTCTTTAAGAAAGAAAGAAAGAAGACAACTGGCCGGCACTGGTAGCTCACACTTGTAATCCTAGCTACTCCGAAGGCTGAGAGCTCTGAGGATCATGATTTAAAGCCAGTCCCTGAGACTCTGATGTCCAATAAACCACACGAAAACCAGAAGTGGCGCTGCAGCTCAAATGTAGAGTGCTTGCCTTGAGCTGAAGAACTGAGGGACAGCTCTCAGGCCCAGAGTTCAAGCCCCACAACCAAGAAAGAAAGAAAGAAAGAAAGAAAGAAAGAAAGGAAGGAAGGAAGGAAGGAAGGAAGGAAGGAAGGAGAGAGAAAGAAAAGACAACTGGGAAAAATTGGGAGAAGGGGTGACTTTGTCTAAAAAGAAGTGTACTCTTTACCTAATTTATGTAACTGTAACCCCTTTGTACATCACCTTTATAATAACAAAAAAAAATTTTTTTTGGGTCCAGTTGTGGGGCCTGAACTCTGGGCCTGGGCGCTGTCCCTCAGCTCTTCAGCTCAAGGCTAGCGCTTTACCGCTTGAGCCACAGCACCACTTCCGGCTTTTTTCTTTTTGTTTATATGGTGCTGAGGAATCGAACCCAGGGCCTCAGGCATGCAAGGCAAATGCTCTACCACTGAGCCACCTTCCCAGCCCCAATAACAAAAAATTTTAAAGAATGGGGCCGGGATAGTGGCTCAGTGGTAGAGTGCTTGCCTCGCGTGCATGAGGCCCTGGGTTCGATTCCTCAGCACCACATCAGCAGAAAAAGCCAGAAGTGGCGCTGTGGCTCAAGTGATAGAGCGCTCGCCTTGAGGTGAAGAGCTGAGGGACAGCACCCAGGCCCAGAGTTCAAGCCCCATCACTGACAAAAAAAAAAAAAAACAATATAAAAAATGTACCAGGCTCCGTCCAGTTGTTGCCAGAGGCCAGCTTCTTTCCCAGTTTCCATCCAAACTCTGAGATCTTGGATCTGATTCTCAGGTGAGACTAAGTGACATTGATCCTGGGTTCAGCTGGGTGTAAATGTTGTGCATATACCTGTATGTGTTACATGTAGGTCTTTCCATGCAAATGCATGCCCAGGTATGTCTGTATGAGTGTGTGTGTGTGTGTGTGCATGAGTGTGTGTTCGTGTAGATACATGTGGGATGATAGGAAGGAACACAAGAGGAACCCCTCTCCCAGCTGGGCTGTGAGGTTGTGGAATGGAATAGGGGCTCTATCCTGCTAGTTGATGACTTTAAGCACGTTGCTTAGCCTCTCTGAGCCTGGGTATGTCAGAAGTAAGCCTTCTGTCTCTTGGTCTTGGTGATGTCATGGGTACCCCAGTCTGGGCTGTGTGTGGAAGTGTTGGGTATGGTCAGCTGAAGCTTTTGTCTGGAGAACTTTGCACCACTGAATGTAACTAGCTTAAAGGTTGTCTGAAAGAAACAAAGATTTCCCCAAATCCCTCTCAACATCCACATACAAGGGGTACCCACCAATAATTGTAGCATCTTTTTACTACTTGCAGAGGTAGTCTGTCAAGTTGCAGTCAGGAGGGCACCAATTTCCTGTCCTCCAAAAAAGACTGGACCTGCAGCCCCAGGTATCCAGGTGGGGACTGAGGCTTCAGGTTGTAGAGAAAGCCTAAACTAAGTAAATATGGCTTAAAAGAGAGCCTTTGGGTGTGACTATAAACTTGAAGTGCCTGTAGTTCCCGGGCATTGCCTGTAGATGGCAGAAGAGCCCTACATAGAACTGCCACAAGTTTCTTTGTTTTGTTTTGGTTGGTCTTGGGGCTTGGACTCTGGGCCAGAGCACTGTCCCTGAACTCTTTTGCTTTACCACTTTGAGCCACAGCACCACTTCCAATAAATTGGAGATGAGAGTTTCAGGGGCTTTCCTGCCTGGGCTGACTTTTGAACCGAGATCCCTCTTGAGTTAGGTAGGATTACAGGTGTATGATACCATTGACTAGATCACTCTTTTATCTCAAAAGAGAGAGCCACTCACTGGCTTGGGTCCCTCTGCTTTTGGGTAGGAGATGAAGATATGCTGGGAGTAGCACATTCTTGCTGGAGTAGTCAGTCATAGTCACATTTGCCATGGCTTTTCACAAACTTCCTCTCTGATTACCTCAGTGTCTTCTGTAAAGTGGTGGACGGTTGGGAAAACTGTCTCAAATATGTGTAAGGTAGCTGGGCACCGGTGGCTCATGCTGGTAATCTGAGTTACTCAGGAGGCTGAGATCTGAGGATCATGGTTCAAAGCCAGCCCAGGTAAGGAAAGTCGTGAGATTCTCATGTCCAATTAACCACCAGAAAATGGGAAGTGGTGCTGTGGCTCAAGTGGTAGAGCCCTTGCCTTGAGTTGAAGAGCTCAGGGACAGTGCCTAAGAGCAGAGTTCAAGTCCCACAATTGAAATATATTAGGCTAAGATGGGATTGGAATGAAGTAAACATTAAACATGAGAACTACCAAACTATTAGAGAAAATGGCACTGGATCAGGGGAAGCAGATAATATATTGTGATTATGTTTTTAAAGAGAGATCCCACTGTATGGAGGTTGTCCTGGAATTTGCTATCCACCTGACTCAACAGTCCTGGGATTTCAGACTTGTACCACCACAACCGTTGGAGACTTTAAAAAACACAATAGGAGTCTGGTGCCTGTGGCTCATGCCTGTCATTCTAGCTACTCTGGAGACTGAGATCTGAGGATCATGGTTAGAAGCCAGCCCTGGCAGGAAAGTCCATACAATTCTTTTTGGTTGCTGTTGTTCTTATTTTCCATATGATTATTTCCAGTGAAACTCCAAAAAGCCAGACTTGGAGCGTTGGTAGCGCAGTAGTCTTGAGGAAAAAAAAAATAAAAGCCCAAGGATAGCATCCAGGCCCTGAATTCAATCAAGCCCCAGGACTAGCACAACACAACCAACAACACACACAACATCAAAAGCCCAAACCATAGGAGAAAAATTGTCTGTTATGACCAAGGAGGGGGAAAAAAATAAAAAAATCAAGATTTCTGACTTAGGAACACTGTATACCAAAGGGAAGGGAAGACGCATGCAGAATGTTGACACTAGTAAGGCTCAAATGAAGCAACACCGCTATATGCCACTTCCTTTTGTACACTTGCACAATTTAAGGACTGAGTTATTTTTGGGGTGGGGTGGGGTGGTTGGTTATCCACCACCAGGGAAGTCCTAAGTTTACCAACCCGTACTAGAGGTCTGTCTGACAGCAGGCAGAGACGACACTTACTACTTAAGGGTTCAACGAGCTGTCTTAGGTCCAGGGTCCGGGGTAAGATTCCCGGTGAGGGAGGAAGGGTCCTGGGCTGGCTCTACCCAAGGCGCCAGGAAGGTTCCCGCCCCCTTTTACGAGAAGCCACGCCCTCGGACAAACCACGCCCCCTCCGCTTTGCCTCCTAGCGCGGGGGCGGGGCATGAGTCCGGCTCGCGTCTTCAGTGGCTCGGGCCTGGGCCGGGCCTGGCCCTTGAAGGTCTGCCGGTGCGGGCGGGGCGGGGCGGGGAGGAGGAGGTGTGGGAGTCACGTGGGCCGCGGGGCGGGCGCGACTCCGGGGCCGGGTGCGCCCCCTCGGCTGCCGGCGCCGGCGCTCGGACGCGACCCCCCCCCAACCCCAGTCATTCCCGCCAGGTGCGCTCCCGTCAGGTAACGCGCGGCGGGCCTCAGCCCGCGCTCGGGATCGGGGGGTGCGTGTGTGTGTGTGTGGGGGGGGGGGGACCGGGTCCCCTGCTCCTGGTTGCTCGCGACACGTGTCCGGGGTGGGACCCCCACCCCACTCCTCCCGAGGTCGGGGGGGGCGGGGTATGTGGGGAAACTCTTGAGTGAGAAGTTCTCGTTCTTTGCTCTCCCCCCCACCCCGACTCTCCCCGCTCCCCCCCCCTTACCCCCCCCCCTTACCCCCCCTCCCTCCCCAGCAGGTTCCCCCGGACGTGCCAGGCTCCAAGGTGGGGGGGCGGCCCCCCCACTTCGAGCGCCCGGCCTAAGGGGTGGGGTGGGGGCCATGGATGGTGAGGCCGAGCCGGAGCAGGGGACCCCAGCACCCCCACCGCCGGCTGCCCACGGGGGACCCGCCTCCGGCCACGCTCCGACCCTCGGAGGGCGGCGAGAACCCAAGAAGTACGCGGTGACCGACGACTACCAGTTGTCCAAGCAGGTGCTGGGCCTGGGTGTGAACGGCAAAGTGCTGGAATGTTTCCACCGGCTCACTGGGCAGAAGTGTGCCCTCAAGGTTAGTGACCCCCCCCTCTCCCCGCAGCCCCACACCCCTCTTTCTCTCTTGAGGCCTGGGGTGACCTGGCAGGGTCACCAGCGTCCAGGGCCCCTGCTCAAGTTTCTATACTCAGCATCTTGTCTCATCGACCTCCTCCTACTCCCCTGGAAGGTCACACTCACGATCTTCCCTGCTTTTTTACACGTGGGGAAACTGAGGCTTAGCCTCACCTCAGCTACCTGGGTCCCAGGATCAGAATGGGGCGAGCTCGTGTACCCGGAAGGAGGGAGGGTGTGACTGCATGTTCTTGGTTCTGGCTGGGCCTGTAGGGGTTCACACAGCTTGGCTGCCTCCCATAAGAAGCTCCTGTCTTTGAGAGGGATCTGAACTTCTTTCTGCCAGAGACTGAGCACCCCCCCCCCCACATATCCCAAAGCTTTAGTTGGGGGGTCACTGGCTCACTAAATCTAGATTGGGTGTCTTGGAGTGGCTGATTTTAAGGCTTAAAGTTCTGGTTTGGGACACACCCCATACCCAGAATCCTTTGAATGTGTAGTCACCGGGAACTTGATTTCATTTTTAGCTCCTGCTAGTGATACCTGCATGGGTGTAGGTTGTTAGTACAATAGGTCTTCCTGTTTTACAAGTTGTGATTGTGGGCCTGAGAGCGGAGTCCCAAAGATGTGTCTTAAATCTCTTCCCCGAGTTTGCCAGCTCTGGGACCTTGAACAATACCTTGGACTCCTTCCTTTCTTCTTTCTTTCTTTCTTTCTTTCTTTCTTTCTTTCTTTCTTTCTTTCTTTCTTTCTTTCTTTCTTTCTTTCTTTCTTTCTTTCTTTCTCCTCCTCCTCCTCCTCCTTCTTATTTTGTTTTGTTTTTGCCAGTCCTGGGGCTTCTAAATTCAGGGCTTGGGCACTGTCCTTGAGCTTCTTTTGCCCAAGGCTAGCACTCTACCACTTGAACCACAGCTCCACTTCCAGGTTTTTGGTTTTTTTTTTTGTCGGCCGTGGGGCTTGAACTCTGGGCCTGGGGACTGTCCCTCAGCTCTTCAGCTCAAGGCGAGTGCTCTACCACTTGAGCTACAGCACCACTTCCCGTTTTCTGGTGGTTTATTGGAGATAAGAGTCTCACAATCTCAGCTGGGCGCTGGTGGCTCACGCCTGTAATCCTAGCTACTCAGGAGGCTGAGATCTGAGGATCCAGGTTCAGAGCCAGCCCGGGCAGGAAAGACCGTGAGACTCCTATCTCCAATAAACCACCAGAAAACCGGAAGTGGCACTGTAGCTCAAGTGGTAGAGCGCTCACCTTGAGCTGAAGAGCTGAGGGGCAGCGCCCAGGCCCAGAGTTCAAGCCCCACGACCAACACGACCAACAACAACAACAAAAAAAGAGTCTCACAGTCTCTCCTGCCCGGGCTGGCTTTGAACCTCGATCCTCAGATCTCAGCCTCCTGAGTAGCTAGGATTACAGGCGTGAGCCACCAGCGCTCGGCTCACTTCCAGGTTTTTCTGTGGATGTAGTACTGAAGAATCAAATCCAGGGCTGCATGCATGGGAGGCAAGCACTCTACCACTAAGCCACCTTCCCAAGCCCATATCTTGAACTCTTGAAACAAAGTTCTTACTTTTGTTCAGAGAGAAAGAACAAGGGTTGATGTGAACTTCAAATGAGACAAAGCTATGGGGTTGGGGTAGTTGTGAAGAAATCTATGGGACTTAATTAGGCCACAGGACCTACACGTTTCTGAATAAGGACAGATGTGAGTGAACAGGCACTAGCTCAGCCTAGGTAAAGGTCACAGGCGCTGGGCCTTTCTGCCTCCCCCACGCCATACCTCAGATTACCAGGCTGGCCTGTCTTTATGGCCTGCACCTTTTCAGACTATCTCTACTCCTTTTCTCTATGCCCATCCTCTGGCCCTCTTGCCCAGGATGGGAGATAGTGCTTAGCAGGAAGCCTGGAATTCATGAAACACATAAAACAGGAAGAATGTGGTCACTGTCTTTCTAGTTATTGCTACTCAGTGTTGGTCTAAAGGAGCTAGGCCTCTTCCCCTTCCCCTCAGCCCCTAACCACCTGCCTGCTCCATCTTGGCTTTGCCCACAGCAAAGTGTCTTTGACCAGGTCCTTTTACTGCCTTTGCAATCCTTCTGCTCTTCTAGCGATCCTAAGCACTCGTTACTGTCCTGTTAGAAGGACCTGAAGTGCTGGCCATCTCCAGGGAACACATAACGGGGGCATGCTGTCCTCCCGCTCCTGGTAACCTCTTGCATGTGCCTCTTTTCCAGGCCTCTTGGTTAATTGGCACCTTTTAGTTTCCTTTACTTCTATCTAGCCAAAGCCTGCAGATTTATCACCTATCTTGACCAGCACTTGAAAACTTAGTGGAACCTAGGATGAGTGGTCAAAAGTCACATGGTTTGATAGGGAGAGAGATGTTGTAGTAGGGGGGAGGGAGGGGGGGAGGGAGATGGGGGAGGGAGGTCATCATTTCTTTCCTTCCTGACTTTTTTTTTTGTCTTCTCCACTTGTAATTATTGGCCTGCTGGAAGATAGAAGTGACTATGGTACTTAGTGCCTTGAAATAAAAGTAGTAGAAGGTTCTGAAGAACCTCTATTAAGGCAGAACTATATATATACGGGAGGAAAGTGAGTCTTCTTCCTGTCCTTGCTTCTGGATTGGAAGGAGTAGGACGTTTGTCCCTCTGGTTACCACTGCCTGTTGGAAGCCCTGGTACCTCTTCTACTTCTCAGCATCAGGTCCTAGTGATGTAGGCCTTTTTTTTTGGGGGGGGGGCCAGTTATGGAACTTGAACTCAGAGCCTGAGCATTGTACCTGAGCTTCTTTGGCTCACAAAGAAGCCACAGCACCACTTCCTGCAAAAATAAATAACAGGTTTACAGGTTAACACTCTTACCACTTGAGCCACAGCACCACTTCCAGCTTTTTCTGTGTATGTAGTACTGAGGAATCGAACCTAGGGCTTCATGCATGGTAGACGAGCACTCTACCACTAAGCCACCTTCCCAGCCCCGTAACTTAGGACTTCTTATCAATGCTAGGGCTATCTTACCAAGGACAGTTTCCTTCCCCATGGTAACATATAGCTAAGGTGTGCCAGGCTACTTTGCATACTGTCTGTAGGATTAAAATAACTTGCAGAACCACAATGTCAAAGACAGTACAGTTTCCCTGACAGGTGGGAAATGAAGCCCTGGAGATCAGATCTCACCTGAGACCACACAGAGCTGTGGAGCGCACGCACACTTTGAACCTCTAAATGTGGCATTCAAGGCTAGTGCGCTCCAGTCTGGCCCTCTTGCTTTTCCTTCCCCTAGGTGAAGTCTCTTCCATCCCCTATACTGGAGAATCCGGTCCCATCTGTCAAGATTCCTTGCCAGCTTTTCCCAGGAATCTTTCCAGAGTCTAGAATCTGTGCCACTGGAGGCAATAGAATCTTCTTTGACCCCTATAGCTGTAATACTCATTTTTGACTCAAAGCTCCCTTATAGCTGTAGCACCTGGGATTATACCTGACTTAGCATTGGGATTACAACTAGTGGCTCATAAATGCTTATTAAAAAATAACCTGACTAAGCCAGGCACCAGTGGCTCACGCCTGTAATCCTGGCTACTCAGGAGGCTGACATCGGAGGATCATAGTTTGAAGCCAGCCTTGGCAGGAAAGTCCATAAGACTCATCTCCTATAAGCTACAATAACAACAACAACAAAAAAGCCAGAAGTAGAGCTGTGACTTAAGTGGTAGAGCACTAGCCTTGAGCACAAAAGCTTAAAGACAGCACCCAGGTCCTAAGTTCAAGCCCCAGGACTGGCACCAAAGTATAAAATTAAATTTCATTCTTTTTTTTGGTCAGTCGTGGAGCTTGAATTCTGGGCCTGGGAGCTGTCCCTTAGCTCTTCAACTCAAGGTGAGTGCTCTACTGCTTGAGTCAGTGCTACTTCCAGTTTTCTAGTGGTTTATTGTAGATAAGAGTCTCCTGCCTAGGCTGGCTTTGAACCGTGATCCTCAGATCTCAGCCTGTGGAGTAGCTAGGATTACAGGTGTGAGCCACTGGCGCCCGGCTATAAAATTAAATTAAAAAAAACAACAACACAGACTTGGCCCTTTGGAAAGAAAGAGGGAGAGAAAGAGAGAGAGAGATTCCTGCTTGGTGATGTACCAGAATCACAATCCACCTACTTTAGGCTTTCTGTCATTATTGAGATCACAGTTGTTTATTTACACACCACTTTACCCAGCTAATGGCTGAGAAAGGTTCTCTTCTACTTCTCTTTCCAAGTAGCTAGCATCACAGATGTAAGCCAGTGGTACCAGACCAGGAATAGTATTTTTTTTTTTCCTAGTTTCTCCAAGATATGTCATAGAGAAATAAGTCCCTGTCCTAAGGTTGGGACTTTGCTAAGGAATCCACCAGCTTTGCTGACGCAGTGTCTCCCCCCCCCCCCCCCCCCCCTTGCCAGAGTCCATGGGGAAAGATATAAGGAGAAAGGACATTCTCTGCCTTGAGGTCAGCAGCTGGGCCACACCTTAGTTAAGGATCTCTTCCTACCCAGAGTGCCAGGAGAAAGGCAGAAAGGGAATCCATGTAGAGAGCCAGACACCGTGGACTCTGGATGCCCCACCCTCCATTGCACTCTGGGCGAGGCCGGCCTGTTGGGGCCTGGTGTGACTGAGCTGGATTTGAGGCCTAGGTGCGGTTGCCCAACCCCCCCACCCCCCCATGGTCTCCAGACCGGTCAGATCAGCCTCTGTAGTAGAGCCACTTGGTACTAAGTCAACAAGTCAGGAGCTTGTGGAAGCACTGGTATGCCTGGAAATGAAATAATGTCACTTCTCCTGAGCTTCTCCCAGACTTGAAGGAAAGATCTGAGAGCTTTGAGCCGCTACCATGAATGGCGAGGAGTAAGCACTTTGCCTAATGAGTTTTCATGAGAGCATAAAACATCTTACGAAGAGTGAAAGTAGAATATAGGAACTCGATTGTTCTAAGATTCTGTTTTTTGTTTTGTTTTGGTTCTGGTTTTTCTTTTTGGCAGCATTGGGGGTTGAATCTAGGACACAGTGCTTACTAGGCAGGGACTCTTCCACGTGTGCCAGTCCTCCAGCTTTTGCTCTGTGGCTGATGATCTTCCCCCTGAGCCATGCCCCCAAGGAGGATTTAGTCCTCTTTTTTTTGATCAATCATGGAGCTTGAACTCAGGACATAGGCACTGTCTCTTCACTTTTCCACTCAAGGCTGACAGCGTCACTGCTAGCTTTTTTTTATTGGTTAATTGGACATAAAGAGTCTCACAGACCTTTCTGCCTAGTCTGGTTTTGAACCACAGCCCTCAGATCTCAGCTTCCTCAGTAGCTAAGATTATAGGTGTGAGCCACCAGCACCTGGCTTAGAATTTTTTTTGGGGGGTGGTGGTGGTGGTGGTCATGGAGCTTGAACTCTGGGCCTGGGCACTGTCCCTCAGCTCTTCAGGTCAAAGATAGTGCTCTAGCATTTGAGCCAACGCACCACTTCTGGTTTTCTGGTGGTTCATTGGAGATAAGTATCTCATTCCTGCCCAGGCTGGCTTTAAACTGGGATCCTCAGATCTCCGCCTTCTGAGTAGCTAGGATTACTGGCCTGAGCCACCGGTGCCCAGCATAGAGTAGGTAGGATTACAGGTGTGAGCCACCAGCACCTGGTTTAGGATTAGGTCTTGGTAGCAGTTATCCACCCTGTATTTATGCCAACAGACACTCTTGGAGGTTGGAGGCTATTCTTTGAGTACTCTAGATGCATTTTTGGATGGTACATTACTGTTGTCATAAGAACTTACATGGGTTCCCTCTATACCTAAGAGAGCCAGCCCTTTATGGAACAGAGGGACAACATGGAGGGAGCTGCAGTTCCTGGGGTCCCCCTCCCCCAACGCTTTTGTTCCTTTGGAACTAAGTGGATTAAGACTTGTGTGATTGTGATAGAAATCCTGCTGTGTGGGAACCTCAGAAGCTTTGCCTCAAGGAAACCATGAACTGCCAGAGGCCTTTTGAGCTCTACATCAACAGACATGTTGAGAATATTGATTTGATTGATTTTATTTTTTTTCTCGGTGGTGGGTCTTGAACTCTGGCCCAAGGCGCTGTCCCTCAGTTCTTTAGCTCAAGGCGAGTGCTCTACCACTTGAGCCACAGCGCCACTTCCAGTTTTCTGGTGGTTCATGGGAGATCAGAATCTCATGGACTTTCCTGCCCGGGCTGGCTTTGAACAACGATCCTCAAATCTCAGCCTCCTGAGTAGCTAGGGTGATTTTATTTATCTTTTAATGTGGGTTGATATTACAGTTGCCTTTGTTTTTCTTTGTCCTTGCTTTCTGTATGTACATGGCACTGTCTTTCTGTCTGTTTCTGTCTGTCTCTCTCGTTTCTCCTTCCCTGCCTGTTTCTCCTGCGGTGGCTCAGTCTCTGCTTTCTCAGGACTCAGCACAGCCTGCCTGTCTCAAGTGTTTCAGGCTGGGCTGGATGGGTTCCTTGCAACCCATCGCCAGAGGACAGGGCAAGGACGGGGAAGGGCTGAGGGATTCCTTCCGGTCAGCCTGCAACTCCTTACCCTGCCTAGGGGAGGAAGGGGTGGGACAGGAACCACAAAAAGAAACTCTGCTATGCCCATGCCATTCCCTGGGCTCCCTTCTGCTGTCAGCCTGAACCAGGTGCGGGCAGCCTTGGCAGTCAAGAGAGTGGAGTCACAGACACTTGGGCTTGGGTTGTAACCCGAGGTGTCCCCTGTGGAGTGTGAGAAAGTAACTTTAGCTGCCATCTCTGCTGTCAGGTCTCCTTTTATGGCTCAAAAGGCTGGGGCTATTACTTGGGACAACAGTGTATGATTAGATATATTATGACCCCTAAGGCTCCCTGGCCACAATTGGGAAAGGAAGTGCCTGGATTGTGACCTAATCCAGAGCATCAGAGCCCACAGAGGAGGTAGGAGGAATAGGACTCAAGATGTGTTCTTCCACGGGCTTGGAGTGTGGCTTAGTAGTAGAGTTCTTGCCTAGCATGCATGAAGAAGCCCTGAGTTCGATTCCTCAGTACCACACACATAGAAAGAGCAGGAAGTGGCACTTTGGCTCAAGTGGTAGAGTGCTAGCCTTGAGCTAAAGAACCTCAGGGAAAGGGTCTAGGCCCTGAGTTCAAACCTCAGGACTGGTCAAAAAAAAAAAAAGTGTTCTTCCAGCTATGAGCCAGTGGCTCATGCTTATAATCCTAGCTACTTAGGAGTCTGAGGTTGGGTGATCACAGTTCGAAGTCAACCCGGGCAGGGAAATCTCCCACTACCTACCAAAAACGCTGGAAGTAGATCAAGTGGTAAAATGTTAGCCTTGAGCAAAAAAAAACCTCAGAGAATTGCCTAGGCCCTGAGTTCAAACCCCAGGACACACACACACACACAGATATATGCTTCCATTTTCCACAGGGTAGACTGGAGTGTGAGCATCCCCTTCACTTTCTGGGATGAGCCCCAAGACTCTAGATGACCTCCAATACCCTTACCCAGTCAATCAAGATCAGGATATAAATGGCCTAGGCCAGCCAGGCGCAGGTGGCTCAAGCCTGTCATCCTAGCTACTCAGGAGGCTGAGATCTGAGGATCATAGTTCAAAGCCAGCCCGGGCAGGAAAGTCCATGAGACTCTTATCTCCGATAAACCACCAGAAAAACCGAGGTGGTGCAGTGGCTCAAGTGGTAGAATGCTAGCCTTGAGCTGAAGAGCTGAGGGACAGTACCCAGGCCCAGAGTTCAAGCCCCATGAGCAACAACAACAACAAAAAATGGCTCAGTCCTTGACTTGCTGCATCTATTGTCTTGTTCCTAAGAGCTTAGCATCTACAGAAGATCCAGGACTTGTTTCATAAATGCTCCCCTGACACAGACAACTCCCTTCTTAGGACCTAGCAGGTGCTCTGGGGGACTAAATGCAAACAGCGGGATCTAAGAATGAGTTTTCACTTCTCGCGAGAGATGCAGACAACAAGGTTCAGAAAGGCCCAGTAACTTACCCAGGGTCGAATAGTGGAGATGTGTCCAGGCCGGGGTGGGACCCAGGCCTGGCTGGCAGCCAATCTTGGCCCTCAGCCATCCATCCCTCTATTTTGCAAGCTCAGCTTGGACTAGGAATCACTGTCTACCCTTTTGTAAAAATGAA